TTAGAGGAGTTAAATAAACTTGAATATAAATTAAGTAGTCATAACATCGATGTTTGGGATCAATTTTTAAGTGCTAATATTGATAATAAATTAAGCTACGTCCCATGCTCCACTGCTCTTTCCATGACAAATGAAGTAGAGAAATACTTTGATGAATTTAGTAAAAGTTATGGAAAATGAGCGTGGAGAAAAAGATCTGAATTGAAGCACTTGCAAACTTTATCGTAGATTAAGTATCTGTATTACTGTCTTTCCCTTTTTTTTGTAACTAATTAATTTTGTTTGCCTTAACATTATTGTTGAGTTTGTTGGTGGTACAGGTGGCCCTTCGAAATTTGTGACAGGCAAGGCAGGTTGTATTTCCTTGTCATGTTTTTCGGGGAGCTACTTGCCTCATCAGCAGCACTACTCACTTGTGTTTATTTCATTTTTACTTAAGATTCCCTTGCTTTGTTTCGTAATTTTTAATTTTTTTTTTGTACTTTGTAAAAAACTGCTCAAAAAGGGCTGATTTTCAGCGATTTCTCACCGTTTGGCGATTTCGGGCCGGATTTTTGGAACACAAAACAAATTGTAATGCTATGGTCATAGGCTGACACCAACATACTGACATTGACTGAAATTTTTTGGGGAAAAAATAGGACAAAATTGAAGCATGAAATAAAAAATAGAGCGCATAAGAGAAATATTGTCCAAACTATCATTGTAATGTAATTAATGTTAAATAATAATAATAATAATAATAATAATAATAATAATAATAATAATTTCAGCATTAATTACCTTGGCCTAAGCCTTTTAATGAAGAACCTACAGATACCGTACTATTTATTAGGCCTATAAATAATAATCGCCCAAGGGGAATACCTTTTGTGTTATTTCCCCTTAACGTCGTTTTTTAATTGCTCTCTAATTCCTCCATTGTCTAAGTTCTCCTTAAGGTACAGGTAATAATAATAATAATAATAATAATAATAATAATAATAATAATAATAATAATAATTTTAACATTAATTACCTTGGCCTAAGGCTTGCACTAGCCCAAGGGGAATATCTTTTGTGTATATTTCCCCTTAACGTCGTTTTTTAAATTGTTCTCTAATTCCTCCATTGTCTAAGTTCCCCTTAACTTACAGGTAATAATAATTAATAACAACAATAATAATAATAATAATAATAATAATAATAATAATAATAATAATAATAATAATAATAATCATTTCGGCATTACATGTAATTAACTTGGTCTAGCCTTGTAATCAAGAACCTGCCGATTACTTTGCCTAATATTAATAACTAGCTCATTTTTACATTCATTTGATGCCCTGCCATTTTGGCAGGTCTTATGGCATCCAGTATTTTAGAGCTGCCTATTCTCAGCTCTTCTCTTAATTTGAAAATAACTGTCACCCTGTTTCATTTGATGAAGAAAAACGCGCTTTTCCTTACTCTTTGCTTTTCCCAATAAGAGCGTCTTAGTAGGCCCTAGGTAATTATGCAAAACCAAGGCCTAACTAAAAAATTAAAATTGTCATAGTATGTAACTCAAGTTAAAATAACACTTTTCATTACTCGTGCAGCATAATCAAATATTATATGTCATTTTAAACGACCCATTGGTATTAACATAGTAACATCAATGTATTTTTAAAAAATAGACAGCGACGTTCTCTCAGAAGTTGTTTTGTAGACGTTTATCTGTTGATGACCTTTTGACCTCCTGAATTCTGCAATGAGATTTTCGGGTCGAATCAGCTGAGACGGCCCGAGTGGAGTTTCATGTAAATGTTTCGTACGGAAAAAATAATCGCGGCCTGGAGATGGTGATATAGCCGTTGGTGGCGCCCTACAAAAGCTTCCTGGTCTTGCGAATCTCCTCGTTGCTGGTGAGCGTGTGAGGTGTGATGAGTGTGAGGACGTTCTTATATTTGGACAAGGTTTAAGGCCTGTCTATACTTGCAATGAAAACTATAACGGTCAATTAGCTGTGCGTATGTAAGGCGTTGGCTGATTGATTGTTTGTCATTATGTATCGATACGTGAAGGCTGCCGGGGACGTGCGTTTTGGACAAGGTTTAAGGCCTGTCTATACTTGCAACGATAACGATAAAAAGCTAAAAAGCAATTGTTCATAGAGAACATAAAAGAAATAAGGAAGTTTTTATACTAGGACGATTCGATAAGGACTTATCTTGTATACAATAAAAAATACTGTAACTTCACGAATCAATTCAAATGACGCCATAAATAATGGAAAAACGGTAAAATCGCAGTGGCCACAACGATTTTATATTTTTTCCATGATTAATTTGAATTGATTTGTGAAAATATTTTGTTATCGTATACATGATAAGTCATTGTTTGATGATGAAGCGTGTTAAGAATACCATGATTGATATAATAATAGGCAAACGAGATAAACACAAAAAAAATAAACGGCCACACAATGCAAACAATATAAAATCGATACTTAGTACATTTTGTCATTCTGATTGCACTTTCTGTACTGTTCCGTTTAAGTTTATTATAAGTCATCACCCAAAATGCTATATAGATTAAAAGGCAAAATACTGAAAAACAACAATGCTGTGGGAAACAATGGCTGGATCTCAATAGAGATACAAAAATGATAAGCAACAGCTAAAAAGTAAACGTAAGTAAACAGCCAGAAATAGTACCAGAGCTTTTGGACAACAATTTATCCAGAATAAATTGAAATGCCATTGGTTTAATTTAGTGTATTGGGAGAACGTTCATAATATTCAGTCCAAATGGTGTGGTTGTTTTAAGTAAAAGTTCCCAGTGATTCTCTTTATCTTTGCGATTTTTGTCGCTCCAACTGGCATTATGGTCAATTACAATCACTCTGAAATTTGAAATTGAATGACCAGCTAAATTGAAATGTTCGGCTACTGGTTGATCAAGCTTAGATGTTCTGATAGCTGATCTATGTTGTGTCATTCTCTTACGGAGAGTGTTTTTTGTTTCTCAGACATATTGTTTACCACAAATATTACAATATATGAGATAAATAACATTTTTGGTGAGGCAATTAATTGATTGCCTTATCCGAAATATGTGGTTTGTTTGGTTGCTCTTGAATGATTGTGTAGAATCAAGCAAGGAGCATG